TTAACACTAGCTTTTAACTATTTTATTGATTTTGATTAGTGAGAATGAGAAACACAACAATTAATTAAGCTTATGTTCAGTGATTTATCAGCTTTATCAGGTCCTTATCTTCTTATTATTCTCGAATCATTGAGTTTAAAAATTCAAGTGGTTGCGGAATGTTTTTTTTTCTAATTTGGTAGCAAACTTAACCATCACACATTCTCTTCCAACTTGCTTACTATTATAGTATTATATATACAGAGATGTGTACTTGATCTGAAACGTGGATAACCTAAATTTTAGAGATTGGATATATTCCTTGGGACTCAAGAAAGCTGAAAAACATGGACCAGAGATTGTTTGAGGCAGCTCGTTTGGGAGACATAACAACACTTGAGTTGCTCCATCAAGAGGATCCTCTGCTTCTCGACCGTCTCTCTTTGTCTTCTCAAGAGAATCCTCTCCATGTCTCAGCCTTCGCAGGAAAAGCTGCTTTTACGGCGAAAATCTTGAGTCTCAAGCCAGAGTTAGCTTTGGAACGGAACCAACAAGGGTTTAGTCCTCTTCATATTGCTTCAGCTTCAGGGGAAATAGAAGTTGTGAGAGAGCTCCTGAGAGTTAGGAACATTGATGTGATCTGTTTGTTGAAGGATAAAGACGGTTTGATTCCTCTTCATTGCGCAGCGCAAAGAGGAAGAATTGATGTCATAAAAGAGCTGGTTTTGTCTTTCCCTAACTCTCTTAAGGTAGTAACAGCTTCTCTTGAGACACCTCTTCATGTTTCTGTTAAGAACAATCAAGTGGAAACTACAAAGTTGTTGCTGGAAGAGATCAAGAAGCAGAACATGGTGCAGGAGATCGCGCAGGAGATCGTTAACCGCGGAAATCGAGAAGGCAATACAGTCTTGCATCTTGCAACACTTGGGAAACAGCTTCAGGTAAGTAGTGTTTCTTCTTCTTTATTCATCATCATTTTACAAACCTCAATGTATGAAATGAATACATTTTAAAGGTTAAAGAACTTTAACATTTTTTTTTTAATAAAACTATACTTTACCCAATTAAGCTTTATTAAAGATTCTTAAAAATTTCATAGCCTAATTTACATTTTTTATATATATGAATTTCCCCATCTTTTGAGTTCTAATGAGCTCCAAAACATCTCGTTCTTAGATTCAACATCCTCAACTTATGGAAACATATATAAACGAATGCGATTGCACCTAGAAATGCCTAAAATGTAACCTAAATGTGAGGTGGAAATAAGATGAAATAGGAGTTAAAATAGGTAAAATACGAACATCTCAATGTTTTTTTTTGTTTTTTGAAAAACACGAACATATCAATGTTACAATCAATCACTATATATACCATTGCTAATTATTGTGAAATATAAGCTTGTTAACTTTAAGCATAAACACGAGTCACTCCACTCATTGCCAAATATTTTTGTTGTTATCTAACAGATTGTGGAGATGTTGATTGGCGAAGAAGCAATAATCCGCGGATCGGTAGATGCAAATAGACAAAACAGAAACAGGTTAACACCAAAGGACATTCTCGACGTGGTTATTGAAACCGAAGGAGGAAATGTTTCCGAAATGTACAAGATTGTTCAAATCTTTCAGTCAGTTGAAGCAAGGAATGCAAAGGAGAAACGCCCAACCCCTCAACAAATTCAACCTAGTAGAAACCCTTTACGTTTGATGAGGAATTTTCTAGACTACGAGATTAGTAATGCAACACTTGAACAAAAGGAAACTCTATCTATATCGCGCCCGATGAGTATGTATTATGGTTCGTGGTTCTAGTGTTATCGTTACTCCTTGGTCTTCGTGAGATCTATAAGTTCATCAAATCTTTGCACAAAGGGTTTTTGAAAGCAAAGGATCTCTATCACTCTCCTTAAGCTGGTCTCAGTTCCATCTCCT